CGGCATCACACTATTTCCCAACTGAGCTGCTGGTCGGAGGGGTTCATCGTTGCCCTGTGATAAATGACGGACCGCGTAGACGGCGGCAGAACCGGACTGCACACGGTAAAGAAAGAAACTCAGCGTTGCCGGCCGGTCCTGTCTTCCTTGTGCTTCACTAGCAAGGAGCAAAGATAACCAGGGTGGCGGATGGGGGTGCAGAAGGGTACGTGAGATGGAACAGAAAGCACACGAGCGTGAGAGAGATTTTCCCCTCCCTTGGAAAGGGAAGAACAGCAAGAGGTGGACAAATAAAAGCAGAGCATTAAGCAGGTGGGGCGGGGCCGAGTGGGGAGAGGAGCCCTGAGAGAGTGGAGGGGAGTCGAGGAGCATGCGAGAGAGGCTGCGTGCAGAGGCGGGCGCAGGTGTGAATGTACAAGTATGTGTGCGGAGAAGAACCGGTCCTCAGCCTCTCAGCAGCTGATGAGCCCATCACCCTGTTTGCACCCTAGAGAGCGCTTGTGGGTAGAGAGGAGCAGCCTCCCGGGGATCCTCTCACAGGATGGAGAGCTTCGGGGTCACCCCCAACCCCAGGAGAGTGGGTTAAAACAGGAAGCCTCCTGGGGCCCGCTCCAGATGAAAAGGAGGCCTGAGGGTGTGCTGTTAGCCAACTCACCATGGACCCCGGTCACTGAGGTTCTGAGGATGCCTGGAGCAGGGGTGCTCAGGCCAGGGCTCTGCAACATCCTGACCCAAACAGCACTCTCTGGAACTCACTCCAGAATTCTCAAACTTCATGGGAAGGGTGCTTCAATCATTGGAGATCCAACTCTGGCATGGCAAGGGGGCTAGTTTAGTCAACGGAGCCCAGTAAGTTGTCGTGACATGCCTATTATTCCAGGGTCCCGGGCTAGATACACCTACAGATGTAGATCCGCACTCTACCTCCTTATTAGAAGATGTCGACTCCCCTGTCCTCCCAGGGAAACGTCAATGAGCTCTCTCTCCAAGAAGCAAAAGGAATCCGTCCTTCCTTCCTGCCGTTCTAACCAAACACTGAGGCCACACGGTTGACACGTGGATGCGGGGTCAAATCACTGAACAAGCGCGAAACGGGCAGAGGGAGAACACTGAGAAGGAAGCCGCTGTACTCGTCTGGGCAAAAGGCAAGGGGGGTGAGGCAGGCCAGGGAAGCAAGGATCATCTTCCCACAGCCCTTACGAGAGCACTCCGCTAAGCCTGCTCCATATTGTGACTCATTTCATTCTCAAAGCTACTCTGGGAGGTGGATACTATTCGGCTATTCCCGTTTTACAGATGAGGAAAATCGGGCATGTGGAGCCTTATAAAGTGACTTTGAGAACAGGTGGGGGCTGCACGTGACATACTGCCAAGAAGAATCTCTATGCCGGCTCAGTGACAGGAAGGTGGTTTTCAGAAGATGCCGCATGACACCCAGGCAGCAGTGTCCCTGGCCAACCAAGGGCAGCAAAGGGGAGCAGCGTGGATTTATTCTGCCTCGGGGGGTAGGGGGGCACACAGGCAGAGTCGTGTGATGGGAGAGGCTATAAGTTCTATTTGGGGCCTGTTTGTTTTCGGTATCTGCAAGACCTCCTAGCACGTAAGTCAAGCTGAGTGCCAAGCCTGTGAGTGGCACTTCCTGGGAACTGCCTGCCTTGCTGTTGCCCAGAACCTTCTGAGGTGATGCCAGCTCTATCACACTGCTGAGGAAGCTGGGGAATAGAAAGGCTACATTAACATGAGCTTGGCATTAATAACCACAAAGTGGCGAAGCCAGGATTTCAGCTCAGATCTTTCCCGTGTGAGTTTTGCCCTAAGAGGTCTGTACTTCCCAAATCTGGCTGACATTTGGCACCCCAAGAGGACTTTAAAAATGAATTCTCCTAAGTCCTGCCCCAGCACTACCGAATCGTCTCCACCAAAGCCCGTTAGTCTAGTTAGTCTATATGGGTTAGCGTCCGTGCGGCTCACATGGGGGCAGGAGTCAGAAGTGACTTGATGACAGTGGGGTAGCTGCCCGTCATATGACGGAGGACCCAGGGTGAGTCCTGGGGAAGGGTGGAAGGTTCTGAAGTCACACAGGTTACTTTTGGCAAACCAGTGTCTCAAACCAACCATCGTGTTCCATTACAGCGGTGGATCTCAACCTTCCTAATGCAGCAACAACTTCATACAGTTGCTCATGTTGTGGTGACCCGCCCCAACCATAAAAGTATTTTTGTTGCTACTTCATAACGATCGTTTTGCTACTGCTATGAATTGGAAAACCCCTGTGAAAGGGTCATCTGACCCCCAAAGGGGTCGCAACCCACAGGCTGAGAACCGCTGAGTTCGAGGAAAGCAAAAAAAGAGTGGCGTTTCTTTCCTACCTGAGTTTGACAGCTGAGATTCAGATCAGTGACATTCCAGAGACCCATTCCATTACAGGGACAGATGCGGAAGACAGGGAACAAGGAGCTGAGGAGTGGACACAATGAACCGGCAGAGGGAGCCAGTGTAGACCAACCTGTTCCCACCGAGTCATATTCCACCGATTCTGATCCACAGCGACCCTGCAGCCTCGAGTGGAGCTGCCTCAGAGAACATCCAGGCCCTGAGTCACACCGAAGGCAGAGTCCCATCTTTCTCCTGCGGAGCAGCCTGTAGGTTTGAACCTCTGACCTTTTGGTTGGTAGTGCCATGCTTCATCCACTGTACCACTGGTACCTATTTGTATTTCTACATATACACACACAGGAACACACGTGTGTTTTGTTGACACATATGTCACCACAGGAAGTCAGGATGAAGCTAAAAGAAATGAGGACAGGGTGTGTGTGTCTCGTGTGTGTCTCGTGTGTGTGTGTGTGTGTGTGTCTCGTGTGTGTGTGTGTGTGTGTGTGTGTTTCTCGGTGTGTCTTCAAGGTGCAGGAGACCTAAGCATGGCTCCCCAACGCATAGCCTCTTGCACAAAAGAGTTAAGAATTGTCTCCAGGCCTGGAGTCCCTTGTCAAAACCCTCCATGTTCTCTCCCCTACTCGCCAAATCCACAGTGTAACACCACGGACCAGGTCTCTGGCCGCCCCACCAGCTCTCACTTTGTGGAAGGAACAGAGGCGCACCAGGCAGCAGAAACCTGGTCAGGGGAGCCTAGGTAGGACTGGCTCACAGGCTGCTGTGGGCCTTTTAAAAAACAAAACAAAATCATCTTTATTGAGGTATAATTTATAGACCATAAAATTCACTCATGTTAAGTAAGTGATTCGATCGTTTTTTAGTAAATGTGTACAGCCAGCATCGCAATCTAATTTTAAAAACGCTCCCATCACTCTATGGTATGATCTTCAAAAGTTTTAAGAGAGAAAGGAAAAAAAGAAAGAGAGAAATCCATGTCCTGCCAGGCTGATGAGTCCCCAGCCAAGGCCACTTGAGCTCCAGATGAAGTTCAATGGGAGGCCTCACACGCTCCCACCAGCCCTCCTCTGCCACCCAGCCCAGGGTTACCCTGGCAAGCCCAGCTCCCCTAGGCCTGTCAACAACACCTCCTGTGACCCCCGAGGCAGGGGCTGCGGGTAGCCATCTCCGGGGCCTAAGATAAAGCCAAAGTCATCCATCCCTTAAGCCAGTTTCCCTGGATGCAGAGCGAGAAGCACATTCCACTTGGCACCAGAGCTCCTTGCAAGAGAAGAGAAAGAAGCTGTGGGCGAGGTGCAGAGCTACAAGGGTTTAGGGAGACCCCAGGGAGGGGGGGAAATACCACCAATGGAAGGAACGCCCCCTCTTCCCACGGCTGTTCATGAGAGCCGGGTTGGCTTCTGTTTAGTTTGACACTGTCACACCACGGGTGTCCACTTTCAGCTAGTGCCCTGCCAGGTCCTCACTCCGCGGGCGCTCACTGGCCCAGGGGCCGCACACACTGAGCATCTCACCCAGTACGGAGCTACAGCTCCTTGTAGAACACATGGACACCGCGGAGACGCTCAAGATGCA